TGGAATGACTAGGAAATATCACATGACAAAACAATTTTTATTGCATTTTTGATTGGAAATTTTTTCCCAAAATTCGTTGTGGTGGCGCAGTAAGTTGCGGGATTAGGCGTCCTGCACTGTAAAACGTTTTTTATTTTTAATTGTTTCTTCGATGTACATCTAAAATAGTTATATACAATATAATAATGTGAAAAGAAAAAATAAATAAAATTACATTAATATATAAAAGGGTCATAAATAACTTATAAAAACTTTTTTTGCTTCTAGTTCCTTCCTCTTCTGTAAAAACCAAACGAACCATATATTTTCTGAAAGCCCTCAATATACTCTATCTTATCGCACTAAAGTGATCATTATAACGTTGTTTTTCATAAAGAATTAGGTCTTCGAAGCTAAAAAGTATGGGTCTTTTTGAAAGGCCATTGCTGGACAACAAAAAAAGTTACTGACAAATAAAAGATTGTGTTTAAAAGAGCAAAAGTACAAGATTGTATTTATTTAAAAGTGTAAAAATAGTTTGTTAATAATCTTGCATTCAATTCTTCCTTTAAAGTCTGTTGTACAAAAAACGTGATGTGTCGATCATATAATAAAAATCAGTAAGTGTGAAATCCTGTCTGACTGATATGAAATGAAGATTTCGAAAACGTAAAACACAAAAAATACACTTCAAATAAAAGCCAGGAAACTACCAGAAAATCGTAAGTATTCTTTGTGAGTGATCTTTTAAAGCATTATCAAACTACTACTAGCAGAGCCAAATCTACAAACACTACCACTACTAAACTTTGTGAGGTAGAAAAAAATCAAAATTTATACCTGAACTAAATGAAAATAAAGAGAATATTGATATCTCTGAATTTATGACAAAGTTTGAAGCAATGGATGATGAACATAAATGGAAGTTATTATTATGTTCAGGTCAATTTGTGAAAAATATTTTATTTCATATGCAAACAAAATCAATGATTCTGGACTGTAAGTTGTGCATTGTATTATCAACCTCACTTTGTTTCTTGTCTCAGAAACTAAAAATATTTTTTCAAATAGTCTTTTGCACTCATTTGTTATCAATATTGATGATCCTAAAATAAAGGAAATTTTTAATGAAATAAAAAACATAAGCCTAAAATCTGATCCAGAGCCTAGTGAAATGTTCAAAGTTGAATTAAACAATCTGTGTAAGGTAAGCTGTTAAGAGGCAATGATGACCTAATTGGCTAATTTTAATTCATAATATCTGCTTTAGACTACTACTATAGAAATTCAGGATGCATTAAATAAATTACATACAAAAATTAGTACTTCAAATGAAGCTGATAAATTTCCACTGGATACATTCCATTATGCAGTCCATACCTTGTAAATATAGTCATTCTCTATATAGGAAATTTCAAACCTATTGATTATCTTTCCAATATATTAGAATTCGTCAATATAAATAAGATCCAATCCCATTTACAATTGACCATCATGAAAATTGGTACAACACAAATTTATGGGCTCCTATTATTGATAGAGGCTTTGATGATGACTTAAAAATTTAGATATAGTAAGGTAAGTTAAATCTATTGTTGTTGGTTAACTGCTAAAATTGGTGGAATTGAATTGTTGTTTAACAGATTGCTAGTTTCTGTTAATAGTTGTGAAATTCCAAATTCTGGCTAAATTATCATCATTTGATCCAAACTAAATAGTAAAGATTCAATTTCACCAACTTTGGCAGCACATCCTATGTTTTTATAATTAACCTTAACCAATTAATCTTTCTTTTTGGTTAATAGAGGTGAAGCTTGCTCATTTGCTAGTTCACAACATAAAAATAGTTCTCGACAGAACAATAATATTGGGAAAAAAATGGGATCAAGGTAGTGAGTGAGTGATGCGAGCCGGCTAATAGTCTACAGACATAACTTCTATATTTGGTAATAGATTTCTGCGTTACTTTCTTGTTATAGAAATAAAATTACCAATTTGGGTAGTAAACAGCTTAGCCGGCTAAGGATTTTTAAATGGCTAACATCACTAGATTAAGGATGGATTTTATAATCCAATCACTTGGAAAAGGAAAAATCATGGAATTTGGAGGGTCATAAGTTGGGAAATTTTTTGAAGGTGAGCATGGCACAAAATGGTTGGCAGAATCAGGACTAAAACTATCAAAATCACTGAGAGATATGTTAGTAGAATTGAACAAGCAGGTGGTTGATATTTCAGAAAAAATTGAAATTGTTGGCTTTGTTAAAGGGTATGTGATGTATTGTGATTTTTTATTTGTATAATTTTATAATAAATTTCTTATATTTCTTTTATAGGATTGTCATTGATATAGATGCTGCCCAAATTAAAAATCAAGAATCCCAAATCCCAGATTACTTTGTACATCCCAAATGTACAAATCCCAAATGTTGATCAATCTTTCTACCTTGCTTTCCTAACTAATAAGAATATAGTGTAACAAAAGGATTGCTGATCACTTTCACAAATCCTAGGCACTTATTGGTTGGGAGACAGAATGCCATGAGTGTACAAAGTAGTTTGGGATTTGGGATTTCTTTGACAGGCTGGCCCAAATCCACTTTGTACATTTGGAATGCCACACCCAAATGATTTGGGGTTTGGGCAGCATGTATATTCATTGATAATCCAGAAGGATATGTTTGCCAACTTACATGGAGTATTGTTTATGAAATCCCAGTTGATATCATCAATTTTCATAAAGCTCTTGATTTGATTGGTGCAGTATGGATTGTAAAGGCATGCTTCATATTTTGTATTTGTTGTGCATCATATTTTAGATGTTTCTAATCAATAATTGATCTTAGTTAAAGATTTTAAGGACTATTAAGTTAACTCAGCAGCCTAAATCAAACTTGGCTGTAGCAATAAGGAAAAAAGAAACCAGAAAACAAAATCATTATTAGATTCAATGACTTCACCAATTCATGAATGATTCTACGATTTTTTTATATTTTATAAGAAAGTTTTTCTGATAAATTTTTAAATTTTCTAATCCTTTATACTGAGAATACTTCAGGTATAATTTTATTCATTAATTAAATATTTACCTCTAAAACTAATTGCTAATAAAATACAAATTGCTAAATTAATTAATTGTCATCAAGTAATAACTTCTTTCTTAAAATCTAACACCAAAACCTTTGGATGATGATGTAACCATCAATTATCAACTTTGTCACCAGCTAATCTTGTGTTTTGGGGGAGTGACAATGGATCAGATGAATAACAGTTATTTGATATAACCAAGCCATTATTATTACATGAATAAAATTTTTATCACCCACTTCAAAAAAAAATTTACCTGTTTTTCATAGAACCAGTCTAGATCTTATTAAAAGAAAAGGTTATTCTATGCCAAGTTGAAAGTGTTTTGATTATCGCCTAACTAGAATGTGAACTCAACAGTAACAGTTGTACCAAAGTGTTCACTATAAGTCATTTATAACTACTTGGTTTTGTCTATAAAAACTGATATCATAAAAATAATTATTGCTTCAATTAATCCAATTAATTACTCAAGCCTTAGAAGAAGCTTTATTACCAGTTTTTGATGCAGAAAAACACTGAGTTATTCAATAAGAAAGAAGATTTATAAAAGTTTATTTTAATTGCAACCACTTCTACCTAAAGTTATCAGACCCTTTAGGGATCTTTTGTAATAAATCTTTGATTTTTTGAGATTAGCTGGTGTGGAATGACTGGAAGCGCCACAGAACTTTTGACCAGTTATTCCAACATATCGTTTTTGACTGATATCCTTTTCTACAAGAACATATTCAAAGGACTAGTTAATGAATAAATTAGGAGATTGGAGTGGAAAAAATAGCTCAATAAAAAAGAAAGTGATGGGTGAATAAAAGAAGTGAATGGGTAATCTGACGATATGTATAGAATAAATGTTTACCAGGAAAATCGTCTGAAATAACTTGCAATATAGGAAAAATAAGCACGAAAGGATGGATGTATTAAACAAAAAAACCGTTACAAGTTAGTCAAAGCAAATAGTTTACCGAACATTATTGTCTATATAGTGTAGAATACATAATAAATTTCATTCTGCATTCTTGATCTAAACATTGTACCACCGATTCATTGGAACCAAAGATGTTTCTATGATTTGTTTTTTTTTGGTTATACATTTCTTTTGGAATTTTTAGTAATATAGATGTTGGTATCGGAATTTAAAACAAGTGAGTTAAACTTGACATCGTTTTTACCTCCATTAATAATATTTTATTTTTAAATCACCTCGTTATTTTCATTATTATTATTATTATTATTGTCATTATAAAAATTTCAAAAAACTTTTGCGCTTTTTATAATTATTTGGAGTAATTTCATACATGGCGCCTACAATAATTATACTTATATATATGGGACATGGATTCATCCGAAAGAACTTTATTTTCTTTGCTCGAAATAAATTATCCATGTTTCCTGCGGATTTTTATAAAATCGCAGAACTTATTAACAAAAAATTTAGAAAATTTTGATACACTATAGCTCAATAAACTGCAATGTTGAGCATATACGTTTTAAAGATTTGGAAAAAAAATTACATATTGATCAACCCCATTAACTTGCGATAGTGGAGGAAAAGCAATGCTCTGTATCCAAATTATCATTGATGCTAATTAGAAAAAAACATAAATAGGCATTTTTATAATAATTTCATGAAATTATATTTCCAAATACTGTTAACATAAATAAATCAACAGAGAAAATTCTGTGAAGAAACCTTTAATACGATGTTTTTTACATAAAAAAAATTTAATAATAAAAGAAAAGAACACTAAACCCTTTTTGTAGTTGATAAATTTCAAAAAAACGCTATATTGAACTTTGAAAAAAAGAAAAACACATTTGATTATACTGATGCTCCGCCAGATATGAGGATCTGCACACGCTTTATATAAAGGATCTCATATATATAATTTTGAACTTGGAATTAACACAAAACAAACGAGAAAATTCCTCTTAATTTTGATCTGGAGGGAGTTGGCAACAAGTCATTAAAAAAGGAAAAAGAACTTGGCTTAATACTCACTCCTACCATCCATCATTAAAATCTTGGAAGTAGAAATAGTAAAATTAGTAATAATAATATGGCAACAGAGTAAAACGGAATAAAATAATAATATTAATATACAAGATTCAAAAGAAATATCCAATTTAATTACTTCAACTATTATTTTTAAAAACAACCCTCAAATATCACTCACTGAATTATGTGTGATTTGGAAGGGAATCACTAATACTATATAAAATGTTTTTCGAGGACGGTTAAAATGGTATGAATAATTTACTTTGATTGAAGAAAGGCACAAAATATCTCTTAATTATTTTTTTCAAAAGGTAGTTAGACATAATGACAACAATGATGATAAATGATAATAGTACTAATGATGATGTTCATCTTTTGTTAGAGTAGAAGATAATTCGTAATTACTACAGGTTTTATTAAATTGATACTATCATTAATAATAAAAAACATAAAGTTCAGAACCCTACAATATGGAAAATAATTTATTGATCGTTATTAAGATAATAACAGTATCCGACGTATTTCATCTATTATTTAGTAGATTTTTACTAGACTTTGTATTATAAAAGTCTGTAAAGATTGGCGATCAAATAATTCAAAATTGAAAAGGGTACAAAAACCTTTTACAGCATTTTGTAAAATCATGATTGATTAAAAAGTATTATTATCTTATTTATTAATTTACTAATTTTAAATTAATTAATTAAATTAATTATCTTTTTATCATTGATTACGTTGATGATTATAATTAATACAATAACCATTTTGATCAATAGTAGCGACATTACTATTATCTTTGGAATGCAATTATTAATTGATTTTTGATTAGTATTAGTAGAATTAGCAGTGATAAGCCTTTTCCAGTTTAGCAGCTGCTTTTTTGAATATTTCTAACATTTGTTTTTTCCTTTTCTTTTTCATCATCACTATTTTGTGTTAGATCGATAAAAATTGATTTATTTTTCTCGCCTTCGCCATCACTTGAGTCTATGACAAAATAATTTTTTCTTTTTTTATTCCGGGAATGTTTATTAAACGTGACATCATCAGGTTCATCAATCTCGTGAAGTTTGCAAGTTTTTTTAGATTCTGCCCAATTACCATTTGAATCAATTACAATTGTTGTTCCTTGGTCTTTAGTAGTTTTGGCTAGAATTTCATTAAAATAGCTAATAAATATAATAACGGATTATTATTAATATTTACATATTTTATGATTTTATAATTGATTGATTGATTGATTGATTGATTACCCATCGACCACGATATCCTCCCAAGAACTTAATAATTTGTTGCAAACTGGACATTTCCATGTAGGGAGTTGCTCATTCATTTTAAAAAACAAGTTGGCATCAAAGCATTGTATATGGTTACAATGGATTGACCTACAAGGCGTGCTTATTCTACATTGTCCTAACTGATAATGATAAAGAAAAAGAGATTCAATATTAATTTTATTTTTTTATTTTTTTTGGATATAAATTAATAATTATTGATAATTCTACCGGATCTTTTAATGATATAATACTTGAGGTTGCAACTACATCAGGATCTTGAATTTGTTTTTTAACTTTTTCAATAGTTGAATAAATAAAATAAATAGTATCAACATTGGTGGTGGTGGTGAACAAAAAAAACACATATATATTATTAAAACAAACAATCAAAAACTTTTAATATTACTTTTCTCTAAAACAGCATCCTTTTCAATAAATTTTCCATTTTTAATTTCATCAACAATTTCTTCAACTGAAATGTTTTTAATTAGGAATATAACTATCAAATATTTCTAATAAGTGGTAATAATAATAATAATGTATAACATCATAAATACAATTAACACCACCATAATTGACAATATAAATTTATTATTGGAAAAACTCACCTTTGAAGTAGTTATAAATCTAAATTGTATTTGATTTACATGTGAAGTTATTTTGCATAAATCTGTGATATCTCGAGGAGATTGTTTGCTCTTTTTCTGATTTTAAATACAACAATAATAAATTGACGATCGATTAATATAACGAATGATTAATGAAATAAAAATTACTTGATACTTACGTAAGGCAACATTTTATTGTTGACTCTAACTTTACAAGAATCAGGGAATTCAATTGATGATTCTTTTTGTAAATTTTGTTCAGCATAGCAACAAAATAAATTTATCTTATAATTGGAACTAGTGCATAAATAAATGAATAATCATATAATTAGTTAATTATATGTTAGTAAGTGATGATTATGATTATTTACCTTGATTTTAATTTTCCAATTTGATTAGAATCAAGAACAAAATCCAAATTAACAATTTCATTGACTACATTTATAATATATTGGAAACAAACATCAATCAAAAGCCAGCAATAATAATAATAATAATAATGTTTATTTAAAGATTTACCAGAACATATTTTGGTCAGTGATAATCTTTCAACAACATTATAAAATGGAGATGATTTAAATCTTAAATCATTATTTGAACACATTTCTAGCAAAGTAACAATTATTGATTGATTGATTGATTGATTGATTAACTGATCAATAATTAAATAAATTACTAACTAATTAATTTAAGGTTAGATTTCTTCAAGAAGAATAAAAACCTGAATTATTTATTCTAAAAAAAACCTTTAATAATAATGATAGTATCGTGGAAACCATTTTTCAGATAGAAAAATGTAGAGTGTTTTTGATCTGCCTGATTTTCTATAACTTGTTACGATTTTGATATTTTGCGTTTAAATGTGAAATTTAACATTTTTGGTATAATAAGTTAATTCGTTCTTTGTCAACTTTGGTTTCTTTTCTATACTATAAATAATTATACTATATTGTTGATTGATTATAATAAATAATAAATGCAAAGCGCGAAATAAATAATTCTACTTTAAAAGGGTTTTCAGAACAAATTTCATTTGAAATTTAACAATTAAATGACGTGTGATATTTCATTTTCAACCAACATCATATTTTTTTATTAATGTATTTTTATTTTTTACTAATAAGTTTTACTAGAAATTTTTTATGAAAAATATCCATGATTACAAAAAATAATGTTTTTAACAATTTCTTTTACCACTTGAAATGTCAAACGAAATATTTAAATACATTCAAATTGGCAATAAATCATTATATTTTTGCATAAAAAATGGCATAATACCAATACTCTATCTCTATGAAAATATCCATTTTATTCTGTAAAAAGCATCAAAATAATTAATCGATAAAGATTTCTTGAAGGAATTAAATTATTGGAGAAACCATCATTATATAATTATTCATTGCTAAATTAGATTTTCTCGACCTTAGGAATGTTTTAGAAAGGTTAGACTGGTGTATTTCTACGAGTCTGTTAACCTTTAATTGGAAATTTATTTTAGATCATTCAATGCCCAAGGATAATTCTTTCTTAATTGATTTCGCGTAGTGGTTGTATCCGTCGATTATCCGGGTGTTTGAGTACTTGTTCAATCAATAATAATAAAGCTCAACACCGGATAATCGGTCATTCACTGAATATCCGACGAATATCCATTGATTTATAATAATTGTTTATCAGGTAGGTCCTATGTAATCACTGGCAGAAATAAACAAACTCAACTTTATTATATTATAATCATGTGATTACAATCAGTTTATCATTTATTTTTTAATGTTCACATAATAATAATAAGTTACAAATAATAAGAATATATTGAATTAAAGGAAAAAAAAATTATTTCTGCTAGTAATACGTCGGACCTATCTGATAGCAAAAACTTATTCGTCAGGAAAAAACATTTTCGATACATTGCATATTTTTTTTTTTAAGAAATTAATAATAACGTATTCAATTTTATTCGTTCACTAAATACAGTCAAACCATGTCACAGCGGATGAATTTAAAACCCGTTGTGGCAAGATTTACTGATCTTACCACAATGGATTTTTATGTTTTTATATTTTAATGCGAAGCAAAAATTTTAAAAAATCCGTTATGACAAGAATTTAATTATAGTCCGCTGTGACAAGGTTTGGCTGTAGACGCTCATTTGGAGTAAAAGTTACTGCAATGCATAAATATTCTTTAGATAATAATGACACAGTTGGTATTCATATTACTTGATATATTATTATAATAGAAAGAATGTTGGTGATGGTGTTAATAATGTATTCTTTCAATTACGTGGATAAAAATTTTTATTTTTTATATTTCTGTGCCACCGATTAACTGGATTAATCGGTGAATATCCATTCGGCGGATACAACCATTTATCCCGCGCTTACTGTGCGATGAAATTTTTCAATTTGTGCTCTTGCATCTTTAATTGAGTTTTACGTTTGGGTAGATAAAGGCATTTTAACACTATTTTAAGTTTGGAAAAAAACAAAAATATAAAAATTTAACAAAGAAACATTTCAGCAAGTTGACAGGTGAACGTGAAAATATTAAGATCACGTGATATTTTTATTTACTGTTTCCGGTTAGATTCGATTTATTTTAGTTGAAATCAATTATTATTATTATTACAAATTTGGTTCTTGTAAATTTTACATTTCTTTGTTATTATTAGAAATCGTATAAACAAACAGTATGTTAACAAGTAAACCTCATAGCATTAATTCATGGGTGAGCTTTTGATTATTTATTAACAAACAGCCCATAAATTTGCATATTATGGAAATCCTTAATGGTTTGGTTTTTTTAAATATATATTTAGGAGTTTTTGAAAGAGGATGATTATTTTTATGAAATGTAAGCGTTTTTTGCTCAAAATGAAAAAAACTAAATAAATATTAAAGAAATCTTTAAATTTTTAGAATGTTAGATGCATTGATTCCTTTAATGTATTGCGTTGGCTCGGTTTCTTTCTTGATAATAATTTACATCAAAAACATCAATCAAAACAATCAAGTTTATCAACCTTTATTAAATAATCAACGACAGGATTCAGCCTATGGTTCTTTTCAGAGAGGACCTGAAACTCTTGGCGAGAATTTAGGAGGCCAAGGCCAAGAAGAAGATGTTGTTGAAAATGTAGAAGAGGACGAATACGATCATAATTCAGATGCAACATTAGTATCGTCAGATGAGCTTATTGGTCCAACTAAAAAAACAAAAAAATTTGATATTGTTAGATTGCTTCTTAGTTCAATAATGTTGGTAATATTTTGTTTAATGTCGTTTGTCAGATGGTTAAATCGTGATAAAGAACAAAATGGAATTTACCTCATCATGACTCTTTTAATCGAAATACTAATTTGGGTAATTATTAACTAATTAACCAATTAATTAACATTACTATTTTTTTATATTATATTAATATTTTACCTATTTATTGTTTAAATAAAAGACATATGCAACATTTCTGGCTTTTGTTAATCTTGTTTCACCAAAAAGAAATTTGTATCATATACGAGGGCATTTAAACATTCTATATTGCATTACTTTTGTCGTCTCAATTATCAAACTTTATTCGTTTTACTTAAAATTCGATTCGCTTATCTTGGAACATGGTTTTGGCTTTGCTATTTTCCTTGTCTCTTTTATCTTGGTCACAAATTCTATATTTGAACCTCAAATTGATTCTGACGAGTTATTTACAAAACCTAATTCAATGGTAACTTATTGCTTTATTGACAGAATCGAGAAAATTGATTGATTGATTGATTGATTGATTGATTGATTACTTTATTATCATCAAACTATTCAGGGTCGTTACTTATCACCGGAATTGAGTGCCTCTTTATACGATCAAATTACCTTCTCTTGGGTTAATCCCTTGATCAGCAAAGGTTTTAGAAAAACTCTTGATGAATCTGACATTTACGAATTACCAAAATTTAACAGGGCTAGAAATATATTAAAAAAATTTCATTCATCACGAAAAAGTTCTTTTGTTCTTTCCTTGTTTAGTACTTTCAAGAAGGAGCTCTGTATTCAATCTGCATACTCTCTCGTCTGGATAACTATAAGTAGCTTTGGTCCACCTTATTTCCTAAAAGAAATATTAATTTATGTAGAAAATTATCCGATTAAACAGGAAGATTCTCGGTCAACTGCTTACTATTATGTGTTTGGTTTATTATTGTCTACGATAGTGCCAAGTTTATGTTTTCAACAATCTTTATATATTGGTCGTCAAATATGTATAAAGATTCAGGTAATTTCATATTCTTTCGTGTTTCTTCAATAAATATTTTTATTTTTATTTTTTACTTTTCATTTATCATTTTTCAGGCAATAATTGTTGGTGAAGTATACGCAAAATCTCTCTCTAGAAAGGATACCAGCGGTGCTACAAATGACGAAAATTCAAAAAATAAAACTGGAAATATTACAAATCTCATGGCTGTCGATGCTCAAAAAGTCTCTGAAATTTCTTCCTATTTTTTTTACCGTAAGATTTATATACTATTTCAAATTAAATATTATTTTATCTTTTGTTTATTTATATTAATTTATGCATTATTTTATATAGTATATTGCCTTCCTATACAAATGTTTATTTTGCTTTATTTGTTATTTGATTTGCTTGGTGTGTCTGCTTTGGTTGGTGTAGTAGCAATGTTACTTACCTATCCTGTTCCTACATATATAAATCAACGTTTTGAAAAATTTCAAATACGTCTTATGGCTGCAACAGACAAAAGATTGGGCGTCATAAATGAGGTAAAGGTTATTTATTTATGCAATTGATTATATTTATTTATTTAATATTTATATAATATATATATTTTTTGACAGCTTCTTCAAGCAATAAGAATTATCAAATTTTTTGCTTGGGAGTCTCAGTTTCGTGGTAAAGTAATGGAGGCTCGTGAACTGGAACTTATAGAAATTCGTAATCGATTGGTGCAATGGATCTATCTGGGTTGTCTTTGGACTGCACTACCATTGTTGGTTATGTTATCTGTGTTTTTAACCTATACCAAAATACTTGGATATGATTTATCTGCTCCAGTCGCCTTTACTGCACTTGCTCTCTTTAACAAGCTTCGTCATGCTTTAGATGAAATACCATCAACCATAATAGCCTTCATTCAGGCTCGTGTCTCTATATCTCGTGTTGAGAAATTTTTGGCTGAGCCGGAAATTAGTAATAATAATAATAAATTAAATCAACAATCATTATTTGATGAAAATAGTCGATGTTTAATTGGTTTCAAGGATGCCTCATTTAGATGGCCTGATGGCGGTGACTCAGATACTACTACACTTAACAACCTGCCACCATCGTTAGATTCACCATCAATTAATGACCAATCAAATAAATTCCTTTTACGAGATTTAAATGTTAGTTTTCCTGTTAATGAACTATCTATAATTTGTGGTCCAACAGGCTGTGGAAAAACTAGCTTACTGATGGCTCTATTATGTGAAATGGAATGTTTAAATGGTTATGTTTTCTTGCCTAGAAAATCTAATAGTCAATTATCAAAAAATATTGTTGGTGGTGCTCCCAGCGGGGTTGCATATGTTGCTCAAACAGGTAAATGAATCATCAATCTAGAATGAAGTAAATGAAATGAAATAAAAATATTTTATTAATATATATATATATATGACAAATATTATTATTTTTCTCCAATAAATGAAATAGCTTGGCTTCAAAATGCAACAATACGTGATAACATTCTTTTTGGTCTCCCGTATGAAGAAGTTCGTTATAACAATGTCATTTCTATGTGTGCTTTAATTAAAGATTTAGATGTTTTTGAATCTGGTGATACTACTGAAATTGGTGAAAAAGGTATTACACTTTCCGGTGGCCAAAAACAACGTATTGCGTTAGCAAGAGCTTTATATTCTCAAGCTGAAATAGTTATCATGGATGATTGTTTATCTGGTATTTTTTTAAAAAAATATAATTTCATTTTGTTTAAATAAATAAAATTTTTCCTTTCTAAAAAGTATCATTACTTTGATTTTTTTAATTAATTGTTTTAGCTGTTGATTCACATACCGCAAAATATTTGTATGAGAATTGCATTATGGGTGATTTAATGAAAAATAGAACAAGAATTTTAGTCACGCATCATGTTGGACTTTGTATCCGTAATGCTGCATTTGTTGTAGTAATGAAAGACGGTCAAATTACCGATCAAGGACCTGCCAATCAAATTTTATCTAGTGGAATTTTGGGAGATATTTCTATTGAGGAAGAAAATGAAAAAGGCGGCGATGATGATGAATTAAAAAATAAATCTACTGAACATGCTAAACCAAAATCAAAATCAGCTAATGGTAGTGACGGCAAATTGGTTTTAGAAGAGAAAAGAGAACAGGGTGCTATTAAATGGATTGTTTACAAAACTTATTTATCAGCCACTGGTGGTTATTTATTTTGGGTATTTTTATTGTCCATGTTTATACTGGTTCAAGCTTTACAAGTTGGTCAAGGTGAGCATTATATTTGGTAAAATTATTTTAATGTATTTCTTATTAATTATTTTTATTCTTGATTTATTTAGATTGGTGGATTAATAAATGGACTAAAGCATATTCTGAAACTAGCCTTGTGATTTCAAATTTCACTTCACAATTTTCAAATATATTTGATTATCTGATAGCGTTATTCCAAGAATCTAGTTATTATTCAACAAACATTTTCACGCCATTAGAATACTTTTCAAGTTCATTTTCATTAACCTCTACTATCAAAACCACAACCAGTATCATACATGCATCAAAAGAATTTAATTCTGAAACTACAATAAAAGAAAAAGTTGACGTAAATTTTTACATTGGTGTTTACGTGTTAATTGGATTATTTACATCAATATTAGCATCCTTCAGATCCTATTATATGTTTATGGGTTCGTTGTCGGCTTCCAAAAAGTTTCATACTGCATTAGTGGATCAGATTTTAAAAGCGAAAATAAGATTTTTTGATACAACACCAATAGGTATATATCTTTTTTGATAAATAATATCCTATTTTCCTAATATAATTATTTCAACTTTTACAAATTATTTATTTGTATTATAATTATAATAAGGTCGTATAATGAATCGATTTTCTAAAGATATGGAGACAATCGATCAAGACCTATCACCTATATTGATGTTCCTTATTCATTCTTGTTTTGCAACTGCCGCTGTCATATTTGCTATATCTCTTGTAATGCCACAATTTTTATTTGCTGGTATTCTCATAGCAATCATATTTATTATTATCAGCGCGTATTTTATTGCTACTTCAAGAGATTTAAAACGTAAAGTATCATCATATTGTTATTTTTCAATTTATTTTGATTTCAATTTGATTATTAGTTAGGTTAAGATACAATTTTTTTAATGAAAAATAGGTATAGAGTCTGTTACTCGTTCACCAATATATGCAGCATTTGGTGAGGTATGTAGGTCGAAAAATTTTTGTTTGTTTTATAAGAATAATTTAAACTTTTAATGACAATCAATCCATTTTTTAGACAATAAATGGTGTTACAACTATAAGAGCATTCGGAGCACAGTATAGATTAATGAACAAAACATTTACACTTGTGGATAATAATAATACTCCATATTTATATAATTGGGCTTGTATCAGGTAATAATAATATAAATAGCAAAACTTTTTGACCCTGTTGAGTATCCAGCCTCCTTTTCCTATGCTCGATTATAAAAATAGTAGCTCATTATTTATTGTTGTTGTTAGATGGCTTCATACACGTGTTGATCTTGCAGGAAGTCTTGTGTGCTTTTCAACTGGTCTTATTATTTTGTATAGATTGCCGAAAGGCATGAGTCCAGGATTAGCAGGATTTGCACTTCTTTATGCATTAAATTTTACTGAAAGTATCATATGGGTTATTCGAATGTATGCTATGCAAGAAATAAATATGAATTCAGGTAATAATGTATAATGTGTGTGTGTATATATATAATTTTTTTTATAATCATTGTTTTTTTAATAACATTGGGGTGGATTTTTTTTTGATAGTTGAGAGAGTTCAAGAATATTTGAAATTAGAAGAAGAACCACCTAGAATTATTGAAATTAATCGTCCACCAGTAGGATGGCCAATGCGTGGTGAAATCCACGTAAATAATCTTGTCATGCAATATTCACCGGATAGCCCACTTGTTTTGAAAGGTATATCATTTCATGTAAAACCAACTGAAAAAATTGGAATTGTTGGTAGAACAGGTAAAAAATTATCATCATTATTATCGTCATTATTGTTACCACATATACTTTTTTTCCAAAATAATAAAAAAATTTTTTTTGAATTTATAGGTTCAGGAAAATCAACATTAGCTATTTCATTTTTTAGATTTATGGAATTTGTTTCTGGTCAAATTATAATTGATGGAATTGATATTTCAACTCTGGGTCTTTTTGATTTACGAAGTAATGGATTTTTTTTTGAAAAAAAAATATATTCATTAGAAAAAAAATTAATAATAATACTAAAAAAAATTTTTTTTTTCAATATAGAAAATTTAACAATAATACCACAAGATCCTGTATTATTTAGTGGTACCTTAAGGTAAATAATCCAATTTCCTATTATTATCTCTTATTTATTCATTATATATATATTATATATATATTCACTTTACTATTCATTATATATAGGAGTAATCTTGATCCATTTGGAGAACACGACGATTTATCATTAATGAACGCGCTTCGACGTGCACATTTTATTGATAACGAATCCACAATAACATCATTGCCGACAACATCATCACCAAATAATAATAATATAGAAATTATTGAAGATGGGGATAATAGTAATGATACTGATGCGTTGTTAATAGATAATAATACTCAAGTTCAAAGTCCAACAACTCAAAGCTCAAATCAAATTACTTGGAGTTTAGATTCACTTGTAAGTGAAAATGGTGGTAATTTTTCACAAGGTCAACGACAATTGATTGCACTCGCAAGAGCCTTAGTTCGTAGCTCAAAACTAATAATTATGGATGAAGCAACCGCTAGTGTTGATTTCAAGACAGATCATATGATTCAAGAAACTATACGACAAGAATTTAAAGAGTCTACATTGTTATGTATTGCACATAGAATAAGAACTGTCGCAGATTATGATAGAATATTGGTTTTAGGTATGTAAAAATAAAAAAATAAATTGAATGAATTCATGTGTATGCGAGAATGTTAATATTAAAAATATTATTTTTTTTTTTAACTAACTGAAAAAGATGAAGGAAGATTAGTAGAATTTGATCATCCATATACTTTAATGCAATCTGATGATTCATTATTTAGAACGATGTGTGAAAGAAGTGGCGAATTTGCAGAGTTATTAGATATAGCCAAGGCAAAATATGAAAAGGATTTAATATAATTAGAAAACATAAATTAGGTCTTTTTTGAAGTTTAAATATATTTTAATATTTTTGTTTTAAATAATAACATCTTGCAATATATATATATATATATAAATATATTTCATAAAATATATACAATTCATAAAAAATAATCATGCGCTTTTCACTATCTAGTCAAGCCCAAACCAATGTTTATACCACCTGTGTTGGTATATTTTTTTCATCGTCGGTTAAACAGTGAATATCTATTTTTTTTTTTAGAATAATACAAATGATCCAAGTTTCAGAATCTAACAAAACCTATAAATAACATATGTTGTTTGTTTAATTATTATTTTTAATTTTCTTTACTCTATCAGCATCTGAGATGATGTTTCATCTGAAAGATTAAAAGAAAAATCAAAGAAGATACCATTATTGTTGTTGTTGTTGTTGTTATCATTATTATTATTATTACTATTGTCATCTTTATCAACTTTATTGTTGTTGATGTTGTTATTTAAAGATTTAATCTTTCTTCTTATTTTTATATTGTTTATATTCTTTGAACGGTAATGATTAAACCGTCCATTTCTATTATTCCTAATGTTTAAGTCCTTATTATTCCTATTCCCATTTTTATTATTTCTATTCATTACCCTATTATTCCTGTTATCATTATAATTATTATAATAATGATCATTGTCATCTTCACTACTAGTATCATCATATTCATCACCATTATTTTGTGATTTTAATGATTTTACACTAGTGACCATTTTAGATGGTTCCGCGAATGCAGCTGCTGCAATGAGTGACGAAATGGAATTGTGTTGTGGTATTGGTTGTTGATTTGGCATTATTGAAGACGACGAAAAAGAACGGGCTATGGTAGGAGAAGAATACTCTGTTTTATTTATAGTGTTATTTTTATTGTTGTCGTTGTTGTTAATTGGTTGATATTTGAATAATTCTGTTAATGCTTCAGCTGCTATCAATTCATCATAAGATAACTCAACCAAACGTTCATCCTCATCAACCATAGTATCATCTTTATCATTATCATTAGATCTTTTTGTTGAAACAATAAAATTTTAATTTATTAACAAATTAAAAATAAAATAATTAAAATAATTACAGTTCTAATAAAATTTACATTGATAATGACAAATCCGAAGAAATGGTTGTTAACGCTGGATCACTGTTGCTAATTGAATTCGTCATTGGAAGAAATTCCTTATTTTTTTTGTTTTTTTAGGGTGGAATTGATGGGCAAAACCAGTTGATGCGAAACATAGTGGAAATTTGAAATGTTACACTCATTTTTTATATTGTGCTACAATACACGACAAACATTCTGGCAATAAAAAAAAGTAAGTGATAAACTGGATTTGAATTGGATTCTGAACTTGACCTCCAATTTAGAGAAGTGACAAATTATATCTCAACCTAGTATGTTAATGAATTGAAAATAACTTTTTTAAATAAAAATTTGGTCATTTGTTGAATTGTAAATTTTTTCAAAATAACTTCTCAAATGAGGAGGGCCACTGGTTACTGACACAGAAACTTCAATCGAAAGAGAACTTGACAATAGGATGAAGGTTTTATTAACAAGTCATCTAATGAAACAAATAATGTACAAAATTTCTTTACTGTTGCAAATAAAAAAAGACGCTCAGGTAAGAATTTTAATGTAATTATTCATTAATAAAAAAAAAAAAAAAAAGAAAAAGATATTAATAATACAAAATAGTTTTAATGCTGTTACCAGAGAATGGTTTTATTTTTATCACACTAATACTTGAGGCTCCAAACAAACCAATGAAATTTGAACCACCTAATACTAATTTTTGATTCATTTCGCTCGATTCAATTCGAACCTGACTCGAATCTATAAATAGCTTGATTGACTTGGTTCGAATCTAATTCAAATAAATATATACCATATGAAATAATTTGAATTTTAAAAGAATTGCAAAAAATTTTTTTAACGACGTAATATTGATATGCAAATCAAAAAAATTTTTATATACCATTCACAATGTGCAACCCTCCCCCCGTTTTATATACTAATACCATAAATGATATTCGTTTGGTGCGACTTGGTATCGTACAAAAAAACCCATAACACAAATCGTCGGTTTCACGTGATATATTATTCACATGACTAAGTTTCGATTTTTGATTGTTAATTAGTTTTTCGTTACACGTTATGAAAATAAAAATCAATGCTCATTGCACACGTTATAGTGGACTTTTTTATAATTAATTTTCACTCGTTACAATGGGGAAAAAACAAAAATTTACATATGAAACTGACAAGCTTTGACTATTTAATAATAGTAGACGATTATAGCATAGAAACGGCTGAAATGATTAATTGACGATCCGTCTATGAATCAGAAAAATGTCGACGAAATGAACGCCACCGATTTAGAACACTCTAATATTAATCATGAATGAAACTGAGCTTTTAAATGATTCTGAAAATGAAGCGAATTTATACCAACCACCACGTTTTTAGAGAACATTCCTAAAGATAGTAATGTTATTGAGGAGAATTAAAGGCTAGATGTCGAAGTCAATATAAAATTGGATTCTAGTATGCATTTTGCAACTTAAAAGGTTAGCATATTAAACAATGGACACAACTACAAGAATTTAAGAAAATTTTGAAAATGACATTCGAAAACAAACACTTGTTTGAAGATAAGAAGCGGAGTCAACGCATCTAATCACAAAGAACAAATTGCAATTGACATTTAAATATTCCACGATCTATCAAAATAATCCAAATGATCTAATCCAGATGTAAAAACTAAATTTAAAGAAGAGGTCATCAATGTTTTTAGATAGTGACAACATAACTTCTTTTTAAATGTGTCATGTATTGAAAATTTGTATTCTAATACGGACAATAATCAATTCATAAACTATGTGAACAAGCTAATCATATAACATGCAAATCTCTTGGTGAATCTTATATTGAAGAAATAAATATATTGAAACAAAAAACATTGAAGTATTGAAATCGGGAAAACACAGTTCAATTGATAACAATGATAGAGAAGAAGCGTCTAAAATTGATAAAGAAAATATAATCCCAATTGGAAAAAAAACTCTTATTTTTTTTAATCAGTATTAATTTTGATCCTATTCTCAGAACACCAAAGGAACAATTACAAGATGCGAAATATTGGCCATAATCGTGCTACTTGTCCTCTTAATAAAACAAATGAGGTGGGATGAATTAGTATATAATTTAATATAAAATTTATTTTGTCAGTGATTTTTATCCTGCCTACGTTTTTGTGCAGGTACGCAGAAACAAAGACCCGTGATTTTTTTTTTTATGGATTAAAATAATTCTTTACTTGATTAAAATATTTTGTTTTAAAAGAAAATATTATCTATATATAAGTATGATTTAACATCACTAGCAATAGCCATGTCCAAATGTTTCAACCGAAATCCTGTAGATTGTAGCATTCTTGATTTTTTAAACGAGTACGATCTAGAACCGTTTGACCTAAATATAAAAGTTCCTTGAAGCAATCGTTAAAGATAAGCAAGACGAGATGTTCTGAAAGAACACAATTGCTCCAAAACTAGTGTTGGTGCACAGGTGACCTATATATTAGGTATTGATTGGCTAATTTTGGTGCGTCGAACAAACAAGTGATTGAGTCGTGTGATTTTATAATATTGATCGATGAGTGTAGCTCAAATGTCAATTCAAACTCGGCCATACATTTTGGGACCATTTAATAACATTTATCTCAAATTTCTTTTAGGATCAGGATTGATTATTATATTTGGTCAATAATTATGACATTACGACATTATGGCTTAATATTAATTATCAATATTATCAAGAATATCATTTCTATTTTGGGATTTGATTGGCCATGCAATTTACTTCAATTGAAAAAGGCATGACAACCTTTTTTCTCTCCTTCAAAAAGATTTTTGCATTCTTAATTCTTTTTCAAAAGATAGTTAGAAATAATGACAACAATGATATAAATGATAATAATACTAATCGCGTTGTTAATAAAGAAGATAAAGGTAAAACATCATTTTTTGTTAGAGCAGAAGATAATTCGTAATTACTAAAATTTTTATTAAATTCTTTGAATATGCATTGATAAAAATCATAGAGTGCAGACCACGGCCACCCTCCTATATATAAAAAATAAAACAGTATAAAATATATAATGATAATCCAAAACGGATCTTTTCGGTACGTAAGTCACAAGGATGCAGAAAAGAAGCCAACAAAAACATAAAGTGGGTTAAGATCAATAATGCCAGTTATTTCTGTCAAATTACATGACATTTTCCGACTTCTATAAGAATATTGTAGATGCTTTGAAAAATAAAGAATGACGTTACCATCAGTTTACAAATCCCCCCTTTTTAATTTTGATGATGAAATGCATCAATCATGTAGAACGACAAGCGTAACGGTATGATATAATTTAATAACAAAGAATTTTTTACAGAAAAAAAAATGTAGGGTTGGTGGGTTGTTTGATATTGGTTGCTGTGATTGTGTGGCAGGCCTGAACACCTGAACCAACTCTTAAGTCGATTAACTCAGTAAGCTTGCAAGCTGTAATAGATAAACTAAATTTATCAAGAAAAAAAAAATAATCTGCAATGAATTAATTTATTATCTTTACTTGTATCAATGAAGGAGAAACGAAAGAAGGTGCTTATGAAATTTGGGATAGGATGGGCTTTGATTTCGATGAATTCTAATTTGTAAAATTAATTGTAATATTATGAAATATTTATGTGACGTAGTGTTGAGTATGTCTCATGCCCCATTTGTAAATTCATTAAATTCCCGTGTAATTTCAATGATTTCTTTTATCAATCCATTTTTTTTAAAAAAAAAGCCTAATCAACGATATAAATAGTTCAAAAGTTATCGAGATCTCTGCCAAATATTTCTTTAAGTAAGAGGTCAAGTATGAGAACATTACAATTAAGAGTAATAATTATTATTACCATCATTATATTTTTAATGCTGACTTTAAAACCATAAATTTTTAATTTACTCCAATGATATTCAAAAAAATACATTTATTAAATAGCTAAAAAACTACATGTTATTATAAATATACTCTATGTTCTTTGAATACCTCCTCTATTTTGATTCTCATAATTGTAGTTGTTGTTATTATTATTATTATTTTTATTATTATTATTGTTATTATTAATTTTCCTATACATAATGAATCCAATAACAATAATGAGAGTTGCTAAAACAAATAATCCACCACCAATAGCTCCAATGATAAGTCCGGTACTTTCGCCCCCATTATTATTATCATTGCCACTAGTATTAGGAAGAGGGGTATTAGGAAGAGGGGTATTAGGAAGAGGGGTATTAGAAATAGGGGTATTAGAAAGAGGGGTATTAGAAAGAGGGGGAGCAGTGGGAGTAGTAGTAGTGACAGTAGTAGGAGGGGCAGGAGGAGGAGTATAAGTAGGAGGGGAAGCAGAAGGAACAATTCCATCACCACTGACATTAATTTCATACCGACCATCATTTTTACACCTTTCACTGACTTCATCAAATAAACGAAGTACATGGGGGGTTCAAAAAGGTTTGTCACAGGACCTGTAACTTTATAACCTTGAATTAAATTAATCTGAATTCTTTTTTAAATAAAAGGCTTATTTCTCCTCTTTCAAATAAAAAATTGTTTGTTTTTTATAATTCATTGATTACTGAAATAATAATTTGCAAAGATCATCAATAAAATCAACTGAAAATTTTTGTTACAAAGTCATATAACTTTATGATTTTAAATGTAATAGGTTTAAAAATATTGTTATGAAGATTAGACATTCTTATCTTTCAAACAAAAAAAAGTTTAAATTTTTTGGCCTGTTAGTTACTAAGCTATTAAATTTTAAAAATATCCAATAAAAAATATTTTATGTGCACTGTAAATGGATGGGATGTTAATACTATATGGGGCATGCTTGCAACAAAACCAGACAAAGTGGACATTGGTATTACCAAGGATTTCAGGGATCAAAATTTAAAAACATAATAATTATAATAATTGATAGAATACATAATTAATAATGTTTTTATTTGTTAAATGATTTTTTGTAATAATGTATAATAAGTAATAAGCAATAATAATAAATGATTCCGTGCAAGAAAAAGAGAGATAAGATAATTATTAATAAATGTAATAATTTTAACAACATAATAACTTTGGTTTATTTATTAAATCCATAGACAGTAATCCCCCGTTTTTTTAATGCATAAACTGCAAAAATTATGTTAATAATAATAGTAAATAATTAAATCACAATAATAATGATTAAAGATGATAACTAACCTACATCAAGTAACATTACAGTTTTACGCTTTGCATGTTCAGTATAAGTTATTGTATCCCTGATCATATTTTCAAGGAATACTTTCAATACGTCCCTTGTTTCTTCATACATAAGTCCAGATATACGCTTTACACCACCACGTCGTGCAAGTCGCCTAATTGAGGGCCTTGTTATTCCCTGGATGCTGTCCTTGAGTATTTTGTTATTACGCTTCATTCCTCTTCTTCCAGCTCCTATTTGAGATTTAAAGATATATTAGCAGTTTCTAGTGTACCTTCAACAGATCTAGCTTCAGTGTTTGCTCCAACAGCCATTCTTTCTATGCAATCGATTTCAAAGTCTTGAGTGTCAAAGGTATCCTCAGGAACACCAGAAATATCTTCTGAAATATTGGTTTCATTGTTATTGTTATTAGTAGGAGCAATAATTTGGTGAGCAGCTTCTTGTTGTATCTGCTGTTGTTGCTCATGTTGTCCTTTCAAAACATCTGCAAAGTTTTTTATTGATAAATCTATTGAATTTATGAGGTCCACTGCTTCATTAACTATTTGATCGGTTTTTTCTGAACTAATATTATAAGATCTACTTAAAACGTTAATCGCTTCGCTTCTTGCTTTGATAATGGTTTCGTCCTTATGTTATTAAAAAAATTATTATTAAAATCCCAAGTCTAACAATTTGGAGAGAGTAAATTTACTTACATTATTATTCGCACTAAAGAATAAAAAAAAAAATATTAAAACGTAGTTAATAAAAAAACTAGAGTGACGACGAGTGGCGGGCGATAACCACCACCACCACCATCCTTAAAACACTTACCTAGTGATTTCTTTTTCTTTACTGTTTTTGCTTTTTTTGCTCCTGTTTTGTTTGTATATACATTATTTTTAAAAAAAAAAAAAAAAAAAAGTTTGTGATATGATTGACGCGTACACTAATTATTTATCCTATTGGTTTTTTTTTTGGTAGGACAGACGCGAATTGATTTTTTTTTTCTTGGAAAAACAAAAAACAATTTATTTTTTGGCAGAGTCCAAGGTGACAAAACGTGAATGTTGTTGTTTGGTTTGGTTTGGGTCTCCTAAAGAAGAAGTGTTAATAACTAACCAGAGGCACTATTTTTTATTTGTATTAATTGATATTTTTATTTTGGTTATTATAAACATTTTAATTGGAATCAAAACGCGGAGCAGATCTTGCTGGGTATGGGTAATTACAAGATTTTCATTGATAATATTGATAATATTTTGCTTTTCGTAATCAATATTAATATTAATAATAATATTATAATCACAAGATATCAAGGAAGCATACCGTTGAAAAAGAAACATTTTGAGTATGTGACGTTTGATTACAGGAAAAAAGCAGGCGTTGAAGCATGCACGCTACCTTGAACACTTTACAGTCATTCTCACATCTTCCTCATGTACAAAAGGCTAATCTGACTAGTGTCCCCCAATGATATGATGATGCAGTTGAATTTTCAGGGGGGGGTGGACATGTCCTGGAGTTTACCGAGACTGCACCAATCGTCAATGACGCTTTCACTAATCCTCCCAGACCAGAGATGGCCGCTGGCATGCTAGACAAAAAGTTGCTTGTAACGATCCTGCCTCTAGGGTAAGGATGGCGCTGTGACTAAGTCGCAACTCTGCTGATGAATTGTAGTGCCATGTAAATATCCAGATCCATCAAAGCAACAAGAATCTGCAGCTCGTTTCAAGCACAGGAGGTCACAATTCAGAGCAGGATTGGTGGCCCTGAAATTGCATTTGGACTCTGATGTTAAGAGGAAAGTTGTAAAATAGTGTTTGTTTTGTATAATCATTTTCATAAATTCTCTGTTTCTCTGATACTAACCAATTTATGATTTTGGGTAGGGGACTGGATTGGGTTTTTGCCCAATCAGTCTGTTTTGTAGGTTAAAATTATTGCATGATTATATACATCTTTGTCAGCAATATGGCCAACAAGAAAAAGAAAAAAGTTATAAAAATGGTTCAGATTTTGTTTGGTACGTTCCATATATATTAATCATTTTCCCAAATACTCTGCTTCTCTTTAATTTTTATTTGACCAACTGAATTTGTTATTTTAATAAATGGGGGTAGGGTTGTTGGTGAGCAGGCATGCCACTGACAAGACAGGGGACGCCTTTGGGATATACCAGCCAAACTCATAGAAAGGGATCTTTTGTCCAGACTTAGGGCCACATGGATGTTAAGTGCAGAAAATGTACACTATCAATGTATATTTTTTTCAACAAAATAAACATTTAAATAATTAATTGTTAAATATTAATACTTTTCTTTTCATAAAAATTACAACAACCCAGGACTCAAAACTCTGAATTCAGGGAAAATCCAAAGCAGCAATCCAGGTTGCAGCCTTCGAGTTGGAAAATTTTCAACCAGTTGCAGGTGCCAACTTTTATGCTAGTGTGGCAATAACATAAAGTAATCATCACACAAGCACCAGCTATCAGTGATCAATGCCCATATATGTAACATCAAGCCTGGTCTTAGGGGAAGATAAGGAAAAGTTTTGTCCAAAGCCTTCTGACTTGTTCAATCTGCCCATACTTGTGGAAAAAATTCCATAGTGCTAAGGGTGTGCAATTGCATTCGCTTGCATGTTGGTGACAGGAAGTTTTAATTAAATCTGACACCTGCAATCAACATCAGATTTATTATTCATAAGGAACCATAGTTGATAATCAGGAAAAGTAATTTATTATTGTGAACCCCAGAGATCTGGGTAGACAGGCATTATTAAAAGTTTCATTTATTCATGGCCTTGGTATTGATACTGCTTGGGTGATGCAATTGTTTGTTATATCAATTATAGCATCAAATATATTGAATAATAATTATGACCATCATGAATATTTGATGGATGGTGGCATTCACATACAAGAAAATGATTAAATAGCAAAGTCATGTTTGTTTTGTTAAAGGTGTATGATTAATTATATTTATGATTTAAAATTCTTTTGTGCTACCATCTTTCTTTGCTTACATATAATCTATTGGTTCTTTTTTTACTGGTTGAATGATGCCAAATTAGATAATGGGGTATTCATCAAATATCGGAATCTGATTATTATTTAAAAAAATAATTTTGGTATTAGCATACTGATAAGTTAATAATATTCTTAGTATTTTTATCATATAGTCTAAAAGCCTACTAGTAAATGTTGAAAGTGCCGATATTTATCAGATATTCTTTTAAAATTAATCCTTTTTTTTAGTTAATTATTGCTTAGTTTAATAAACCAATAACTCTTTTATATTGTAATTAAATTATTTCTAAAGCTCTTTGTGCTAAAATAATATTATAATCTTGAGTAGTAGTTGGGTTGCTATTTGAATAAGGTTTACTTGAATAAAACAAACAATTTGAGTAAAAAATAATTCAAATAAAATGAATAATAGTAATTTGAATAAAACAAATTAAACGAATTAAACGAATTAAACGAATAAACATACAGTTAGAACTCATTAAGACAACGCTTTGATAAACCAAATATACACGATAAACCAATGTTGTTTTATTATCTACCTACCTATCAAATTTACCTCAATAAGCCGATTTTATTAAGGTTTTTTAAATCAAAGTTTTTTTTGAAAATATTGACTTTGGTTTAATGAGTTCTGACTGTATTATGAATAGAAACCATGCATTAATACTAAAATCAAAAAAACAATGATAAACAAACAAACAAATAGCTTTTATTGCGAAATAATTGATTTTGTTCCTTTATTGAATCGATAACACAAGTAGTAGCCAATTTAAACAGCATTGTTTTTAAAGAATTTATTCAAAACAATATCGTTAAATGTATAAAGTTTAATGATTTTTAATGTTGCAAAAAATTTTTCGATACATCAATCATGTTTATTTATATACTTTAAAGTTCCTTTATTTCTTTTTTTGATAAATAACAAATTTATCCTTTGTTTATTTGTTTTAGTAGATTCAAATAGATTTTATTAAATCAAATGGCACACTAGAGCAAAATTTCGGAGAACCCAAGTGTATCAAGTCAACTTTACTTTTAAATACAGCGAACAACATAACGTGTTACAAAAAATAATTAATAATAATATTAATATACACAATAAAATAATAATAAAATAGATTACTCCGGGGATTAAATTTTAGCGAATTAACCCCAATTCAAATCCCGTTATTTTTAACACAATAAAAAAAATAGATCATAGCATGTGTACATATTATTTTCCCTTTTTAAATACATGCCAATCATAATCGCTCTTAATTCCACCCAATTAAATTCAAAAATGATATATTTGTAAAACTAAAGCTAATATACATACATATAAGAAAGGTTCGTAGTTTTTTATGCAAACAATTTCCTTATTTGTATTTCTTTGGTCAAGGTTGACAAGCATTTCATGATAAACTGGACAGATTTTTCATCCATTTTTAATGCTAAATTATTAAACAATCCTAGAAAAACATACAAAGTGAACATGAAATTATAAAATTATATATATAGGGATAGGTGTATATGAAAAGTAATAATAAGTATAATGGTTCTAATGAATATCAAAATGCAATTTATTTTTTAGAAAAAGGTTGTGATTGTGGTTGTTCTTCAAGAATTCCCAAGGAAGAACTTGCAGAATTAAGGGAGTCCTTTCAAGCTCTTTCTAAAATAGAACAAGACATATTTTTAATGGCACAGATTAAAGCAATGGATGGTGGATCAATAAGCATCAGTAGGCGCTTTAAAGAACTTTTTATCACTGGGATCACAATATACCTCTTTGTCAAGAAACTTATTTCAATATGTTGGGAATTGGTAGAACTTATTTTGAAAACATCAGAAATCATCTGATAAACCATGGTCTTTTAACAAGAGTTCATGGTAATATTAAAAGGATGCCTCAATGGAAAACAAAGATGGTGATTGACAAAAGTGTTGCTGAAGTGGTAAAAAATTTTCTAGAAAATTATGCTGAAGTCCATGGATTACCAAGTCCAGGAAGGAGTGTCAATAGAATAACTCAGTCAGTTATCTTTTTACCAGCTGAAATGAGTTATAAATCAGTGTATAGAGGTTTTCTGGCTGGTCTGGAAGAAGATAGTAATTTGAAATCCTTAAAATATGATGCATTTAGAAAACTATGACATCAATTAACACCAGAGATTCAAATTATGAG